ACATTATCAAATATTAAAAGCCTTATTAGAAAAGTAAGTCTTACATAAAGATCTAAAAGAAAACAATGAGGTAGACTGTCTAATATTTAGTGGAAGGGCATTCCACAAACTGGGAGCCCTGACCATAAAAGCCCTCTCTCCTTGAGCTCTGGGAATGTAAAGGAGTAATTGATAATGGTAATTAGTAAAATCATTGTGAACATGTAAACATAATTTACTGACTTCTTATTTTTTTGTGACAAGCACCTTCCTGTCCCAAGTTGAGACTAATAGTCATATTTTAGCGATATTTTTACAGGCTGGTTAGGGATGTTTTGACCGAGCCAAATTATTACACTTCACTCCACATGTACAGCTTTCATTTTTTTTGTACAGCTAGCACCTTCCTGTCTCTGGGTTTTGACTAAAATTAAAATTAATATTTTAAAAACATGGGCACTTCCTGGCTGTTTCGATCGAACTTCTCCCAGCTGCCCCCAGCTTCTTCAAACCCCACAGGAAATAATCAATCCAACCAATCGTGTCTTGGACAAACTCCTCCCACAAAACAAGAAACTCCTACTTAGTGACTGCAGAGACTCTTTTCTTGTTATGGCCAGAACAGGTTATTTTACAGGTGATGTATGATTTATACAGCACCTAGGAGAGACCAAGTCCAACTTTTCTTCACTCATATAGACTCCAAGTACACAACAAAATGTATTTAACAGTTTTAAAAGTGGATTTTGCATGGTACGTCCCCTATAACCTGATTTTAGTCAATAATTAAAACTTTTGTAATTATTTAACAGTCAGAGCTCTCAAAATAATTTATATTGTTGTAGGTATTTCTTCCCTGGATAGCAGGACGTCAGGTAAGATGGGCATGCGTGCGGTCTTCTACTACCTGGCGACCACCCTGATTGCGGTGTTTATTGGCATTGTGATCGTCATGATCATCCGACCGGGAAAAGGCAACCGGGACAGTCCGCTGCTCAAAAGTGAAAATATTGAACCAGTTCAGGCTACTGATGCTTTTCTGGACCTCATCAGGTGAGATCTCAGTGACTTTAATATTTTGAATGCAGCAAATACGTTTTAAATAATTACTGGGTTATTGAACTTAAGTGGTGTTGTTCCATTTGTTTTTCTCTCTCTCTCTTTTGTTTCAGGAACATGTTTCCTCCCAATTTGGTAGAAGCGTGCTTTAAGCAGGTAAAGCTGTTCTTCTCAATCATTGTAAAGTAATCAAACCTTCACATTTTAGCTCCTGGTATTTTTAAAAATACTAAGTTTGATTTAAGATGCATTTTAAAGTGCATTTCATGGTTTTTACTTTGTCATTGCAGTATAAAACTGTGTACAAGAAGATAGTCCACACAAGGAACATGACCATGACTCTGAACCTCACAGACTCTCTGAATGTAACAGAATCTAATCTGACCATGAAAGTCAGCAAGCTTCTGCACACCATACAAGTAAACACACATTACCCTCTGTTTACTGCATGCTCAAATCCAGCTGGTTTTGCTGAATACAATGGACCAGTTATGGTTTTCCATCTGACAGGAGACGGTGGAAGAAACCGTTCCTGTGTCTGGTTCCTCTGATGGAGTAAATGCTCTGGGTCTAGTTGTCTTCTCCGTGCTCTTCGGTCTGGTTATTGGCAACATGAAGCAGCAGGGCCAGGCTCTTCGAGACTTCTTTGATTGCTTAAACGAAGCCATCATGAGGCTGGTAGCCATCATCATCTGGTCAGTGAACACACACCTGAAGCTTTTCATGTGCATTATGTCCTGAAGAAGTGCTGCAGTTCATCTCATTCCATCTCCTCCTGCCAGGTACGCTCCAGTCGGAATCATGTTTCTGATTGCAGGGAAAATAGTGGAGATGAAGGACCTGGCAGAAGTGGGTGGTCAGTTGGGGATGTACACGGTATCTGTCATTGTGGGACTTCTCATCCACGGACTCTTTGTCCTGCCGCTGCTCTACTTTCTGGTGACCAGGAAGAACCCCTACAGTTTCATCGGTGGCCTGCTGCAGGCTCTCATCACTGCTTTGGGGACATCATCCAGGTGAATCTCATTGTGGAAAGGTTTCTTTTTGCTCTTTTTTTTCTAATGTGCCTTCCTTTTAGCTCACCAGATTTAGATAAATGGCTGCCTCTCTCTGACTGGTTCTGATGACATTTTCCTCCCCACTGTCACTAAGTGCTCGTTTACTTTTTAAATATAGTCAGTAGTCAGTTTAATAAATTGTATTAAAGAAACTACATTGCATATCACTGTTTAAACTATTAACTTAAAAATTAAGTTATACAACAATTAGCCATATTACTAGGACCACTGTTGGATGAAAGTGTTATTTTAATATAATTGTTTTGTTAAAAGATAAAAACACTTTCTATAGAGTTTCCTGTTTATTTTTTGAGTTTCTTTCTATTGTTTCTTTATTTTTTGTCGTTTTGTAAAAATAAATATTTTTTTCCAGTTTCTTTGGTTTACCACTGCTAAATCCTAACACTTTTTGCGATTCAAACTGATAATTTGTTTTTTGTCATCCACATACAGTTAACAGTGTTGTGGATCAATCACAGGTCTTCACATACTAACAATACCACACAGCATTAAATGATCCCTCTGACAGGGCCCCAAATGAGCTGTTTACATGCCTCAAAGAAGGCGTCAAAGGGTCCACTTGACCTCCAGTATCCAAAGATATCTGACTGTTGTAATTTGATGGCATCTGGAAACTCGTCCAATTTCACTGATGCTTTATATCAAAACCCAAATATGTTCTTTCTTAGGGTCCTGACAATTCAGAGCTTCTTCCATTGCGAAAAGTACCCAGTATTTGACAGCTGATCATAATGTTATGTATGTTAATCATATCGGATATGTATGAAATTCTTTAGGGATGTCAAACAACACTTGTATTGTGGTTCTGTTTTTGGAAAGCACAGTGCAAGAATAGATAAAATACATACTTTCCAAATACATACATCTATTTTTTTATTTACCGTTATTTCACCAGGCAAGTCCCACTGAGATCTCAGATCTCTTTTTCAAGGGCGGCCTGGGCCTGAAGGCAACCTATTATACATGTTTTGTGTTGTGGGGGAAACCGGAGTACCTGGAGAAAACTCACGCAAGCACGAGGAGAACATGCAAACTCCCAGGTCCGAACCGGGGATCGAACCCAGGACCTTCTTGCTGTGGGGCATCGGCGCTAACCGCTGAGCTGTCGTGCTGCCAAACATCATACATCCATCTGTGTATTAAGAGGACGATTGAGTGTCATTGTGACATTCAATGTTTTCTTCTTTTGTGTTTTTGCTCCAGCTCCGCTACCCTTCCCATCACTTTTCGATGTCTTGAAGAAAACAACCACGTGGACAAACGAGTAACACGTTTCGTCCTTCCTGTGGGCGCCACCATCAACATGGATGGCACCGCCCTCTACGAAGCTGTGGCTGCCATTTTCATCGCTCAAGTTAACAACTTGGACCTGAACTTTGGCCAGATTCTTACCATCAGGTAACTCAGTGTTGTCTATTGTGACACAGAACACAGTGAAAGTAAGAGTCAGCTCAGTGATTTACTCAAATGTCCAATCTTTTTCACATGTGCACTCAAGTATATTTGATGACAACTTTGCTAAGCTTGTAGGTTTTCAGGCTTTTGTAACATCAAAACCTGATTAAAAGGAGTTAAGAAATGCATTCTTAACAGGTTTTTGCAAAAGTCATTGACATCCAGGTATGGACACAGCTAACCAAAACATTACCTTCACTAATCCGCTAAACAAAAATCTTAGCAATGCTAATGCTGAACCACTAAGACAGTTAGCAGGACTGACACAAACCTGTTGTTAATTTTCTATTGGTTTAATTTGAAGGTGAGTGGGATCAGATGTGGCAAATCGACCAGTCCAAACCAGAGAGTTAAAGCTGTTTTTTTTTATAGAGTTTGTGTTTTTATAAACACAGTTTTAAGTTAGTCAAACAACAAATACTTTCTCTACCATATTTCAAAGTTTTGTATTTGTCATTTTATGTTAAAATGTTGTTTTATTTCTTTTTGTCGCTCTTAGTTTGAAGTTTAGATGCTAAAAATGCTACATGGCATGCTACACATACACGCCTAGCACTGCCTAAAAGAGGGGATCATTTTTATTTATTTTGGGATTGATGGCAAAGAAATAAATGTTTTACACTTGTGAATATTTTAGTGGACCTAAAATTAGCGAAAGCCAACTTAGTGGAAGCTAATCAGTCCACTAACAGTGGACTGTGCCCACCACTGGTGACATCCTGAAGAAGTATTTCAGTCGTTTTCAGAATAGTTTTCAACAAGAGAACTGATTAATTATATGCTCCATTTCATATAAACCTGTCACATTAGTAGTGCTTCTCTGACAGTCTTTTTTAATCATGGAGAAAATGTGTGAAACAGTTAGGTGGTGCGAGCATTTCTTGTGTGGCTTCATCACTACTGCCAGCAGGATTGCACATGTGCCGTTTGTTTGTTTCCCTTTATGAGATGTCTTTCCTCTTCTCTCCATCCCTCCCACCGCCCACTCAGCATCACGGCAACTGCTGCCAGCGTCGGAGCAGCGGGCATCCCTCAGGCTGGCCTGGTTACCATGGTGATCGTGCTGACATCGGTGGGACTGCCCACAGAGGACATAACACTGATCATCGCTGTGGATTGGTTCTTGTGAGTTCCCTTTTTAAATGTCAGCTTGATGGGGATTGGTCAGGGTTTGCTCCAGCCTAAATGTCACCATAAAGCTTCAGAGAGCTCAGAGCTCTCACGTCTTTAAAGGTTATTGATGCATAATACAAAGTGACACGTTAGAAATCCACCAATGCTTTGGTTCTGCAAGTCTCTGATTCCCTCTTTCTCCCGCATCCGCCCCCGCAGGGATCGTCTGCGGACCACTACCAACGTGCTGGGAGACTCGCTTGGGGCCGGCATCGTGGAACACCTTTCCCGCTCCGAGCTGCAGAATCGAGATGCCGAGGTGCGAAACTCTGTGATCGAGGAGAACGAGAAGCCCTACCAGCTTATCTGCCAGGAGAATGACTCGTTCAGCCACCCCAACAGTGAGACCACAATGTGAAGTCAGTGGTTTCACCCTAACGATCTTCACACGCCAAAAGTATTTTAGCTGAGGTTGGTACCATGACAGTAGAAATGGTTATCTTAAACAACTGAGTCAGTAAGTACCTCCCAAAATACAGAAGACACACATTAAAACATCACAACGCCTTGTCAACTTGACAGAAAAATCCCATGATGTTTATTAGTTACACATCCAGAGGAAGTCCCTCTGACTCTTCAGGCTCATTAAAGCATGAAAATGTTAATATAGATAGTTTTTCGAACCACCTGAATTTGGAGTAATATAGTGGAGGATGATGAGCTAATGGCTAGTCCAAGCAGGATCAAAACCAAAGTGGATTCCAAGCACCTAAAACAGCTCCAACCTAAATTTCATGGCCGTTCACACAAACACTGTTTTAGTAATATTTACACCAACCCCCATTTCACAATCTGTTTGTGTAATTTTATTATTATTATTATTATTCATTTTTTGTAAACACAAACAGCAGCATCTAGCTCAGTGGTTCTCAAACTTTTCAGCTTTTGACTCACAAAATAACAGCAGCAGAGACCTGTGCCCCCAACTATTTTTGGGTGATAAACGTTGGTATCAAATCAAATAAACAAGGGCATAAGAAACGATATTCATTATGCCACTTTCATCCCTTTTTCAGTACACTAACCTCACTCCTTTGGAACAACTAAGACAAAAAATGTTTCTAGTAGTCATTTTTAAATGTAATTAATTCTGAAAATCCTTCAAAGACCCCACCTTGATTTTTCAGGACCCACAGTGGGGTCCTGAACCCAACTTTGGGAACCACTGATCTAGTTGTAGCACATTCTGTTCAGCCTTGAACTTGTCCTACAGGTATGTTACAGGAAATGATGGGTGATGTGAAACTGATAGAAGATAATGTTTGCATAAAATTTATATGATTTCTGTTTTAAAATGACAGGAATCCAGTTTGTTCTTAGCTCTGCTCAGACTAGCAGCTAGCTTTCCAGAGTGGTCAAACTAAGGATGTTCAAAGAGCTATCTATTACAGGTAAAACACTATCTGCTCACAGCAATTCAACAGAACCTACTTTTGTGACCTGTATATATCACTTTTATGTGATTTGGTCAGAATCATTGTACTATAAATCTATAACGTACTGCCGTCAGTGCTCAAAAACTGTGTTAGTGCAAGTAAGCATCACCAGTTTTAAAAGAAACGTCAAACCAGTTAAATTTTTCTGCCATTATTATAAAAATCTGAACATTTCCATCCATTATTTCTACAAGACTAATTGTAGTAACTTTGTCTTCTTTGTAAACACTTGTTTTTGTCATTCTTATCATGACTACCTCTAATACGAGTTTTAGGGTCATTCCAAAAAATACACAAATTCAGCAGGATGTAAATCTGACCTAAAAAATTGTGTTGTTTACGTTTTCTAACATTGTAATTTAAAGACTTTGAATGTAACTGACTGTTAAACTTTGGAAAATAGTGCAAAAATATCTATATTTCAGTTTGATGTATTTTCAGTGACTTTATCTATCAGTGCTTTTTAAGAGCTATAATGGTGATGTTCTGTTTATTTCGTGCTAACGTCATTAATAGTGAACTGTATTTTATGGGCAGTGTTGCAACACAGAATCGCATCTCTACACTGTGGCCACAGCTTCAATTTATTAACTGAACAGGCAACTTCATTTTAGTATGCTAAAATAAAAAAACATGATTTACAAACCAATTGTTGTTTCCTTTTAGGGTTTTGTGGAAATAGAGTAAAGTCAGTTTGTAAAAGCTTTGAAAATTTGAATGTGCTTTTGTTTTAATAGATGTTGTAAATGATAAGTTGGATTTTACTTTCTCTTAATTTCATTTAAAGCTTGTTGACTCTGGAACTAGATTTTGTTAATTTTAAAGTTTGCCTTTGTTTCGATGCTTGATGTCATTTTCTATCCGAGAGCAGCTCAAAAGTTGGATGGACAGCGTATTAAAAATGTGATGAATAAATGTCTCAGGAACTGGACTGTGATTGGGATTATTGAGATTGTGGCTACCCCTTGTGGAGGATATTATCCTGTCCAGAAGCTGTAATCTGTTCTTAAGACTAATGTGGGCCAAATTTTTAAACCAGTGAGTCAACAAGTATATACACTTTATTTATTAGATTACAAATTATAAGTCCACTTCTTTCAAATGACAAAAAAATAAATAAAGTTTTATAACTTCAAAAACATCCTGTGGTGTTAAATACTATAAATGTAACTACTTTTGTTAGAACTCTGCTCTATTAAGGATGTTTTTATTAACTCAGAACAGGTATCAGTGAAAATCAACAAACATTTATTTCTGAAACTTTGAAAATTATTTGCATCTATTAAGAGGGGCCATGCATTTTCCAGTAACATAGTTCAGTTCTATACTACAGTCAAGTAACCATGTTACCTTCAGTTGTTATGAAAACATTGTTTATTTTAGAAATAAATTAGAATAGCCGTCTATCCAATGCCTTGAAATTGGCCTCTGTCTCTTTAAGAACCTCCTAACATTTCCAACACTCCCACATCAGCACATCTTCACAACGATGCTTCGGGGGAGGGCTTTTTCTGTGGGGAGGGGGCTCGGCTGCAGACTGAGCCCCAGGGAGGAGCTTTGTGTAAATAGGTGGGGCTTTGGACCAGCAAGCGTTTAGGCAGCTCCACATGGAAACGGGAGATTCAAGGATTTCTCTAACATGCATGAATGAGACAAAGCAACACTCTGTGTATGTTTTTGATGAGGGAAAGACATTATAACATGATATAATGCAAAAAAAAAAAGGTAGATTTTCTGTACAACCCCCACCCATTTAGTAATAAATTATAAATTATAAAACCAAAACATTTGACATTTAGGATGTGTAAAGAAAAAAAAGGATGTGTAATGTTAGTGTTCACCAACACTGCAGCTAATCAATGTCAGTTTATCACCATTTGTTAGGAAAAAGCACAATCTGATATTTTATGATCATTTTTTAGTTAGGAAACAAAATAGTTACAAAATGATGTCCAATAAGTTTTAAAAGTTGTTCGTTATTACAAGGTTTTCTGCTCTTAATTAAAGTGAAACGTTTTAACATTATTAAAAAAAACAATAAAGTAGTTCTGTATGGCAGAATCAAACTGGTTAATAAAAACATCTTTGGCTTTACTGTTTGGAGACATCAAAGAAACAGTTGAACAGAGTTATTAGTGTTAAAGGATCTGCAGAAGCAAAATGGGCATGGTTCTTATAACTCTCGTGACTCCTTTTTGTCAGAACAAGTGTTGATGTTGTGGTGTATTGTTTTGTTTTATGAAAAAAATTACTATTTGTTTTTGTTTTATCTGTTTATGTTTTTCTAGTTATATTCACCTGATGTGTCCCATGTTTTTGCTCTCCTTCTCAGTCAGATCTCCCTCTTGGCTCTGATACAAACTCTTGGGTTCTTTCTTCATGTCATGTTGTGTTGCAGAGGATTCCTTCATTAGTTATCAAAATTCAATTTGTGATTCTACCTGCCTTCCTCCTGGCTGCTTTCAGGACCACAAACTCACAAAGCTGTGAGAAGAAAGTTACAATTGTGCAAATTCTTGTCCGTCCACAAACAAAGAATGTCTTTACAATTATCATAAAGACTGAAAATGTCAACTCAATGTGGGATGTGTTTCTACTGAGGAAAGTTCTGCTCTGTGGACAAATTAATACAAAATCTTAATTTTTTTTTTTTTTGGACCTCTGGAACCTTTACAAACACACAACTCTTGTATGTTTTAGCTTCAACTTCAGAGTCAAGACTTTAATAGTTTGTCCAGCTAAAGTTGGTCTAAGGTGACTATAGAAACAGTCAAAATATCAGTTTTAATGCTGATCAAAAACACAACTTTAAAGGGGTGGTATTATGTGTTTCTCAGGCATACATATAAATACACTCCTGATCAAAATCTTAAGACCAGTCAAAAAAGTGCAAGAATTTGCATTTTGCACTATTGGATCTTAAGAAGGTTCTAAGTAGAGCTTCACAATGTTAAAAGAAGAAATCAGTGCAAGAGACAAGAACTTTTGAGCAGGGAATTTTCTGAAAACTGCATTTACACTCAAACATGATTTTTTTCAGCTGATCAAAAGTTTAAGACCATAGCTCAAAAAAAAAAAAAAACAACCCGAAAACTCCCACAAAACAGAAATCAAAGTGTCAAGAAAAGGACTCAGTAATGAGTAGCTCCACCATTCTTGTTGATGACTTCAAACAATGGTTTAGGCATGCTTGATGCCAGTGTTTCCAGGAGGCTAGTGGGAACGTTGCTCCAAGTGTTGAAGATGGCTTCACGAAGGGCATCCACTGTCTGGAACTGATGTCCATTTTTGTAAACTCCATCCCCAAATGTTCTCAGTTG